GAGTGGAGATAAGGAGGTCTTTTTCAGGATGGCCATTGATCATTAGTGGATTTCAGGGTGGAATGGCCCTCAACTATTCACGCTATATATTAAATGATCTGGATGGAGGAACTGAGAGTAATGTTGCCAAGTTTGCTCATGACACAAAGATAGATGCAGGAACGGGTAGTTTTGAGGAAGTGGTGAAACTGCAGAATGATTTGGATAGGTAAGCAGAGTGGGCAAAGTAGTGACAGGTGGAACACAATGTGGGAAAATATGAGGTTCTACACTTTGATAGGAAGAATAGTCTACACCTAGATTGTCTAAATGGGAAAAGGCTTCGGAAATCTGAAGTACAAAAAGGACTTGGGAGTCCTAGTTCAGGGCGATCTTAAGGTAATCATGCAGGTTCAGTTGGCAGTTGAGAATGCAATGTTAGCATTCATTTCAAGAGGGCTAGAATAGAAGACCAGAAATGTACTGTTGAGGCTATACAAGGCTCTGGTCAGACCAGTTTTGGAATATTGAGCGTGGTTTTGGGCCCCATATCTAAGTTGGGCTGGAGGGGGTCCAGAGGAGGTTTACAAGAATGATTCCAAAAATGAAGGACTTGTCATCAAGAGCAGTTGCGGGCTTTGGGTTTGTACTTTGAGATGAGGGATGATCTGATTGAAACTAACAGAATACTGAGGGGCCTGGAAAAACAAAAAGAATGGACATGGAGAAGATGTCTATACTAGTAGGAAAGACAAGGACTCAAGGGCACAGACTTAGAACGAAGGTTCGACCCTTTAGAACTGAGATGAGGAGGTATTTCTTCAGCCAGAGGTGGTGAATCTGTGCAGGCGAAGTCATTGGGTGTATGAGTGTATTTTAGACAGAATAAATAAGTTCTTGATTAGTAAGGGGAGCAAGGGTGACAGGGAGAAGATGGGAGAATGGGGGTTAAGAAACATATCAGCCTTGTGGTTTGTATCTGGGCTGAGCTGCCAAAGGAAGCAGAGGCTGGTGCAATTACAATATTCAAAAAACATTTGGACAGGTACATGAATAGGATGGGCCAAATGCAGGCAAATGGGACTAGTTCAGTTTGGGGAAACTTGGTTCGCATGCACAAGTTGGACTGAAGGGCCTGTTTCCATGCCAAATGACTATGATCGAATGGCAGATCAGACTCAATGGGCTGAATTGCCTAATTCTGATGTTAGTCTTATGACTTCTTCAGAACATTGAAGATAAGTGAAACATCATACTTTTAAAGAGACCATAATACATAGGAGCAGAAGTTCGGCCATTCAGCCCATCGACTCTGCTCCACCATTCAATCATAAGAACATAAGAACTAGGAGCAGGAGTAGGCTATCTGGACCCTCGAGCCTGCCCCGCCATTTAATAAAGATCATGGCTGATCTTTCTGAGACTCAGCTCCACTTACCCGCCCACTCACCATAACCCTTAATTCCTTTACTGTTCAAAAATTTACCTTAAAAACAGTCAGCGAGGTAACTTCAACCGCTTCACTGGGCAGGGAATTCCACAGATTCACAATCCTCAAGGTGAAGAGGTTCCTCCTGACCTCAGTCCTACATCTGCTTCCCTTTATTTTGAGACGATGCCCTCTAGTCCTAGTTTCACCTGCTAGCGGAAACAACCTCCCTGCCTCCACCTTATCTATTCCCTTCATAATCTTACATGTTTCTATAAGATCTCCCCTCATTCTTCTGAATTCCAGTAAGTATAATCCCAGCCTACTCAGTCTCTCCTCATAATCCAACCCTCTCAACTCTGGAATCAAACGAGTGAATCTCCTCTGCACCCCCTCCAGTGCTAGTATATCCCTTCTCAAATAAGGAGACCAAAACTGCACACAGTACTCCAGGTGTGGCCTCACCAGGACTCTATACAGCTGCAGCACAGCCTCCTTGTTTTTAAACTCCATCCCTCTAGCAATGGCAGACAAAATTCCATTTGCCTTTTTAATTACCTGCTGCACCTGCAATCCTACTTTTAGCGATTCATGCACAAGGACACCCAAGTCCCTCTGCACAGCAGCGTGCTGCAATTTTTTACCATTTAAAACATAGTCCATTTGCTGTTATTCCTACCAAAATGGATGACCTCACACTTATCAACATTGTACTCCATCTGCCAGACCTTTGCCCACTCACTTAAGACGATCTATATCCCTCTGCAGACTTTCAGTGTCTTCTGCGCACTTTGCTCTACCACTCACCTTAGTGTCATCTGCAAATTTTGACACACCACACTTAGTCCCCAACCCCAAATCATCTATGTAAATTGTAAACAATTGCGTTCCCAACACTGATCTCTGAGGCACACCACTAGCCACTGACCACCAACCAGAAAAACACCCATTTACCCCTACTTTTTGCTTTCTACTGGTCAACCAATCCTCTATCTATGCCAATACATTACTTGTAATACGTGCAACTTTATCTTATGCAGCAGCCTTTGGTGTGGCACCTTGTCAAATGGCTTCTGGAAATCCAGATACACCACATGCACAGGTTCCCCATTGTCCACCATGCAAGTAAAGAATTCCACCAAATTGGTTAAACATGATCTACCCTTCATGAACCCATGCTGGGTGTTCCCAATGGGGCAATTTATATCCAGATGTCTTGCTATTTCTTCCTTAATGATAGATTCAAGCATTTTCCCCCACTACCAAAGTTAAGCTAACTGGCCTATAGTTACCTGCTTTTTGTCTACTTCCTTTTTTAAACAGTGGTGTCACATTGGCTGTTTTCCAATCTGCAGGAACCACCCCAGAGTCCAGTGAATTTTGGTAAATAATTACTAGTGCATTTGCTATTTCCCCCATCACCTCTTTTAGTGCCCTGGGATGCATTTCATCAGGGCCAGGAGACTTGTCTATCTTTAGCCCCATTAGCTTGACCAGCACTGCCTCCTTAGTGATATAGTGATAGTTTCAAGGTCCTCACCTGCTATAACCATCTTGCCATCAGTTTTCGGCATGTTATTGGTGTCTTCCACTGTGAAGACTGACACAAAATAACTGTTCAAATGTCGCGGCTATTTCCTGGCTAATCATGGCTGACAAGTTTCTCAACCCTATTCTCCTGCTTTCTCCCCGCAACCCTTGATCCCCTTGACAATCAAGAACCTATCTATCTCCATCTTAAATATATAGAATGACCTGGCCTCCACAGCCTTCTGTGGCAGTGAATTCCATAGATTCACCACTCTCTGGCTTAAAAAGTTTCTCCTCGTGTCCAATCTAAAAGGTCTTCCCTTTATTCGAAGCCTGTGCCCTTGGGTCCTAGTCTCTCCTACCAATGGAAACAACTTCCTGACATCCACTCTGTCCAGGTCATTCAGTATTCTGTAAGTTTCAATTAGATACCACCCCCTCCATCCTTCTAAAAACTCCATCGAGTATAGACCCAGAGTCCTCAAACATTTCTCATATGTTAAGCTTTTCATTCCTGGGACCATTCTCATGAACCTCCACTCCAGGGCCAGTACATCTTTACTGAGATATGGGGCCCAAAACTGCGCACAATACTCCAAATGTGTCCTGACCAGAGCCTTATAGAGCTTCAGAAGTACATCACTGCTTTTATATCCAAGTTCTCTCAAAGTAAACACCAAAGTTGCATTTGCCTTCTTAACTACTGGCTCAACCTGCAATTTACCTTGACAGAATCCAGAATCCAGAACTCCCAAGTCTCTCTGCACTTCAGACTTCTGAATTTTCTCTGTTTAGAAAATAGTCCATGCTTCTAACCAAAGTGTATGACCTCACACTTTCCCACGTTGTACTCCACCTGCCACTTCTTTGCCCACTCTCCTAACCTGTCCAAATCCTTCTGCAATGTTCTAAAAGTAACAATTTTATTTTGTTTTCAGATTCTGGACCACTACAACTTTTAATTTTTAAGACATAATACATTGTTCAGATGATATCTTTGGGATAATTTTTCCTATATACATTGTTCAGTGTGTAGCACACCACATGCAATTCGTAGCTACATTGGGTACATATTATGTACCCACTCTCTACACTAATGCCACAAAATTATGATTGATTGTTGTAAAATCCCACTTGGTTCACTAATAACCTTTAGGGAAGGGAATCTGTCATCCTTACCCGATTTGTACTCCAGGTCCACAGTAACGTGATTGACTTTTAACTCCCCTCTGGGATGGTGCAGCAAGCCAACAGCTCAAGGGCAATTAAGGCTGGGCAACAAATGCTGGCTCTGTCAGTGACACCCAGATCCCATGAAGAATGAAGAATGCCATTATGAAAACAATTCAGGCCCTTAAATCTCTGCTAGCTTTTGTTCCAGGTACATAGATTGATAAACCTGGCCTTTGGGAAGTGATCAATGCCGTCGATAAGCATAGAACCCCACACAAGATTTTTGGACCATTCTCACTTCAAATCAAATGTGCAAAGGTCTTTCAAATCGGTTAACAACTTCAGGCATATACCAACCATCAAATGCCAAAAGATGTTAACTAGAAACAAGCAACCAAAAACAAAAGTAAATTGATTAAGAGCAACCAAGGATAACTACGGTTAAGTGACAAAACATCATCAACAGAAATGCTAAAATTATGGATTTTTTTTAAATAGAAATAACGATTGAGCACAAAGGAGCAAAGTAAAAAATTTCCACCAATCCATCTGGTTTCCCCAGATAAAATACTCCCAGCTTAAAAAAAACAGTTCATAGTAACAGGCCCGTGATTTACTAGAACTGCAAAATAGTTCAGCCTTGGACAATGAGAGCTTGAAAGATCTCATGACTAAAAATCAACTGAACATAAAAAAAAAGAAAATCCCTGAAAACTTACAGATTGACATGCAGTGATGGTGAAGTTTATTCCTGCAGCCTTCTTCACACACAGTCAAGCTTTCCTCATCCAGCATATCCAGTAGACAAATAGGACACATTTGTTCTTCTTCATCCTTTAAGCTAAAAAAAAAAGCAAACAAATCCTACGTTTAAAGCTAATGTGGTTCAGAAATTTCTAAATCTTTTTCAAGATGGGTCATTTAAGTGCACATCACAGATCCCAAGCAGCAATTATAAAAATCAATGTTTTTATTAATACGGATAGTTCACAATCTGCAGATATTAAGATTTTGGAGTTCCATTTGAGGAGTTATTCATTAATACAACAAAATCAAGAAAATCCACTTCAACATACCCAAGCCCATGAAAACACATAAGTGAGCATAGAAAGGAGTCTGTCTTCAAATGCTGCCATTTGAGGCTCATGGGGTTGAATATCCATTCATAACAACTTGGACTTTGCGGAGACAATTAACCAAATGATCCTCCAAAATATGGAGGAAGTTAAAAACGCACAGGTATATGGATTAAATGAACATCTGTTTGAAGAGATAGTTCATCCCACAGTCACACTTATGATCAGATTAGCTAAAGCTTAGAGCACAGAACAAGCTATGGACAGTCCAACAGGTCTCTGCCAATACTTACTCTCCCTTTCTCCCTCATGTACGTATCCAGCCTCCCCTTAAATACATCTGTGCTATTTGCTTCACTATACCATGCAGAAGCACATTACACATCCTGACCATTTGGAGTAAAAAGTACTTCACCCTAATTATTTAATATTTATTTGCATCCACCTTATACAGGCAAGCAAAGTCCTTCATAAATTTAAAACACATGCTGAATTGCCTCAATCTTCTTAATTCTAAATTGAAGAGAAAGAAATTCAAGAGATCATTACCATACAGGAATTACATTTCATAAATTACTCTTCATTTTTGCCTCCCTCACTAAGATTATAGCTCCAAACTCTCCCATAAGGGAGAAACAATATATTCGCATCTTCCTTTTAAATCCCCTAGGAAACTTTCATGTTTCAATCAGGTCACCTCTCATTCTTCTGAACTCAATGAGCACAGGCCCAACCTATTCAACTTCTACAAAAATCCCTCCATACACGACATCAATCTAGTGAACCTTCTCTAGACTGCCAATGCCAGGTTAGGTTTGTCAACCTGATCAGACACGGTATGGCACACCTTTGGAGCAGATGGGATTTGAATGTGGACCTTCTGGCCTAAGGGGTAGGAACAGTACCACTGGGCCATATCAGCTTTTTTTCCTTAGATAAGGGGACCATATGATCACAGTAAGAAACAACAAGGGGAAAGACAACACTGGTGTAAGTAGTCCACTGGCCCCATAACAACAATTGTTCTGTAGGATACTCAATAAATCAAGACCTAATGAAGCATGTAAAAAGACAGTGCATTAATCATGGGCAATATTAATCTGTGTCAATTTTGAAAATTAAATTGGCAGAAGTAGCCACAAAGAATTCAGGACCACTCCCGACAGCGTGTTATGGATTCAACGGAGAATGAGACTAATTTAATCTGGTAATATGCAATGAAGCCTGTTCGACAAATGGCCTCAGTAAAACTTCCCCAAGGGAACAGTGACTATAACAAGGCTGAATTTTAGCGATCAGTTTGATACTGAAAACTTGGGTCAAAACAACTCTGCTAAACTTGAATAAGAGTAATTACAAAAGAATGAAGGCAAAGTTGGCTGGATTTGACTGGGAAAGAATGTAAGCATGAAAGGTAGTTGAGAAACAATAGCAAACATTTAAGAAAATAACCGATAACACAGCAAGATATACACTGAGAGGAAGGAGAAAACTAGGAACAAGATAAAAGAACCATGATTAACCAAGCAAGTGAAGGATTGTATCAAATGGAAAGAAAAACGAGTTTTGAAAAACCAATAAAAGATAAGCAAGAAAGTAACAGAGGGAGAAAATAAATGGACGGTAAACTAGCAAGCAATATAGAATCTGACAGCAAGAGCTTCTTAAAAGTACACAAGGAGGGATGTCTACGGGAAATTAGGGCTGTTAGGGAATGAGACTGGGAAATGCTAATGAGGAACTAGAAAAGGGCAAAGCAGTTGAATTATTACTTTGCAACAGTCTTCACAGTCAAAGACACTAGTAGTATTCTAAAAACACTAAGTCAAACAGCTAAGGGGTCAGGGGAATAAACTGAAGTAATCACTGGAGAAAGTAATGGGGCTAAAGGCTGATATACCCCCTGGATCTGATGGGATGTCTCTGACGATATGAAAGGAAGTAGCTATGCAGATAGCGGACACATTATTTGCGATGTTCTGAGAATCCATGGATTATGGAAAAGTCCAAGAGGATTGGAAAACTGCCAATGTAAACTCTACCCTTAACTTGAAAAAGGGAGGGAGTGAAATAAAAAGTTAACTATGCACCAGTTGGCTTAACATTTTCTCAATGACACATTAACAGTCTATTATAAAGAATGTAATAATAGAGCATTTAGAAATGCATAATAAAAATAAAGCTGAATCAGCATGGCTTCATGACAATGAAATTATGCCTGACAAATGTATTAAAACATATTGAGGTGGTAACAGTATGGTAGGTAGCAGGGAACCAGTAGATTTGATGCGTTTGGATTGCCAACAGTATTCGATAAGTACACATAAAGCAACTTAAGAGGCCAAGGTGTTGGGAGTAGTATATTAAAATGAATATAGAATTGACTGAATAGAAGAAAGAGTTAAGATAAAGGGAATGGAGTGCTACTGGGATAAGGAATGGGACCACAATTGTTTACAATATATAGTAAACGGATGAGGAAAGTGAATGTACTGCTGCCAGGTTTGTGGATGACAAATGGCTGAGGCACAGGGCAATACGAGGATGAGTCTGCAGAGGGACATAGATAGGTTACTAAGAGGGCATAAACTGGACAGAAGGTAATGTGGGAAATGTGAATTCATGCACGTTGGCAGGAATGGTTGAAGAGCTGAAAATAGTTTAAATAGTGAATGCAGAAAGCTACAGCACAGAAGAATTTGGGAGACCTCATGCACAAATCACGGAAAAAAAAACACAGGTACTAGAGAAGGGCAAATGGATCATTGGCCTTTATTTCAAAAGGGAACGAAATATAAAAATAGGGAGATTTTTAGTAAAACTCTACAGTGCGCTAGCTAGATCACACCTGGAATACTGTGACAGTTTTTATCCCTGTATCTATGGAAAGGTATAATGATATTGGAGACAGTCCAGAGAAGGTTCACCAGCTTGTTAGCAGGAGAGGTCCGATAGGTTGTACTCATTGCAGTGAAGAATGAATGAATGAATGAGAGGAGACTTTATTGACACATACAAGACTGTTAGAGGGCTTGACAGAGTAGGTATGGAGAGACTATTTCTCTTTGTGGTACAGTCTGGGATCAGAAACGATAATCTCAAGTAAGAAGTCACTCACTTAGGACAAATGAGAAGAAATTTCTTCTGAGGGTAGCGCATATGTGGTATTATTTTACTGCAGGAGGACAGTAGAGTGTGTGTCAGGAAGTATTTTCATGGCAGAGATAGACAGATATTTAAGAATAGTTTGGGAAACAAGATTTATGGAGAGAAAAAGTAGGAAGGTGGAATTGGTGTTGAGGATTATCACATCAGACATGACCTCATTGAAAAGATGGTGCAGATACAATTTTAGGGGAGCCTATAGACTACTTCCTCTGGTGTCTTGCACCCTTACTTCTTAATTCCACCCAGAGGGATTCTACATTTCAGGGCAGCACGGTGGCTCAGTGGTTAGCATTGCTGCCTCACAGCACCAGAGATCCGGGTTCAATTCTACCCTCGGGCAACTGTGTGTGGAGTTTGCACGTTCTCCCCATGTCTGCGTGGGTTTCCTCTGGGTGCTCCGGTTTCCTCCCACAGTCCAAAGATGTGCAGGGTAGGTGAATTGGCCATGCTAAATTGCCCATAGCGTCCAGGGATGTTTAGGTTAGGTGGGTTAGACATGGGGAAATGCCGGGATAGGGGAATGAGTCAGGGTGGGATGCTCTTCGGAGGGATAGTATGGACTTCTTGGGTCGAATGGCCTGTTTCCACACTGATTCTATGATTTGATGCAAGATCATTTCTTGCTATCATACTTATTCCATCTCTTACTAAAAGCAATCTTGCCAGCCTTTCCTTCCCACCTGTACTTTTGAAAAGTCAAATACCACTGAATACGTATTTCCTAACTTTGATTTCATCACCATAATGGCTAGAAGATCACACCCATTAACATCTATTTATGCCACTGTTAGTATTTTGAATAAAATAAACAATGTGCATTTAAAAGCAGTTAGTTTTGCCTTTGACTTTTCTCTCCTTTTCCCACCGCCCCCAGCCTGACCCTTTTTGCTGGTTATTTGTGCACTCTGTTCCCACCTCTCCCACTGAGTATTATCTAATCAGAAAAGGCAAAGGAGGCACTTCCTATATTCCAGGCACCCATCAAAATCTCTTCTTGAGATAGTGGTAGGTTAACAAATGCAAACTGCTGGACATTCACAAAATGGCTATCACAGACAGACCCACCCAAAGGAGATGCCTGGAATTAAATTTTGGAACTGGTATTTCTAAAGGACGTTCTACTAGTATTTTGAAGACAAGCTGCTGTGTCCTATTTCTGCATGAAGTAATGGGCACCTGGTTCCCAGACAAATAACTATACAGCAAATAAAAATCAAGGAACCAAGTCATTTTAATAGCTGCAACATTCATTGTGACTATCTGCATCCAAGAAATCAGCTAATTAACACCAGCTTTAGATGAAAAGTTAACACCCTGAAGACAACTAAAGGACTCCTTTTGCATTGGATATTATTGTCCTTTAACATTGAACCTCTATGTTGTTCTAATTGAATAGATGAAGGCTGTACAAGTGAACCACTTGCCAGTTATCACTGGTTATCAATTTTGCATTTTGCGTTTAACAGTCACTATCAAAGGCACTACCTTTGAGTTGGAACATCAAGCCGAGACACGCTGCTCTTTAGGGTGGCCGCAAAAGATTCCCTGGCAATATTTTACTTAAGAGAAGGGGGAACCTGTGCCCTATTAAACATTTATCCCTCAATTATCACTGAAGAACAAAGATATGATATGGTCGTTATGAGAACGTACTACATATAATAGGATGCAAATTGGTTGCCATAATTCCTATGCTAGGAAAGCAGTTTATGCATTACAAAGGTATTCAATAATTAAAACAGTTTTGTGATATCCTAAAATTCTCAAAGATGCATAAGATACAAGTTCTCCTTTCTTTCTGAATTGACAAAAAATGCTTCTAGTTCACTGGATCTCTTTGCCACTTTGCAATGCACAAGAGATCGCTTCCTTTTTACAAGGTTAATCGTATTGAAAACCTACCTGTGTTCTGCACTGGACGTACAGGTACTGGATGAAGCAGAAGTGTGAGAGTTAGACATCCGAGAAACAAACTTTTGGATGGTGTTGCGTGAAGGAGCTTTGATACGTGAACTGCGTCTGCTGTGGTATTTCTGAAAAAGACTCTCCACCTTTTGAAAAAAAAAGAATTTGTTAATTCCTAAATTCTAAAAGCCTACAAACAACATTTTATTCAAAACCTATCACTGTTGCATTTTTAAAAAATACTCATTCATGGGATGTTCATCATTGATGGCTAGGCGAGCACCGATAAACATGCAAAATGCCATGGAGAAGATGAGCTGCTTTCATGAACGGGAGTGCCAGGATTTTGACCCAGCTGTGAAGGGCAGCAATATAGGTTCAAGTCAGGTGAGGGAACATTGCAGTTGGTGGCGTTCCATGCATCTGCTGCTCTTGTCCTTCAAGGCAATAGAGTTCACAGGCTTGGAAGGTGCTGTCAAAGCAGCCTCAGGTGAATCAATGCACTGCATCTTGTAGATGGTACACACCATTGCCACCGTGTGTCAGTGACGAAAGGAGTGAATGTTGAAGGTGACAGATGGGGTGCCAATCCCAAGCAGGTTGCCTTGTCCTTAATGGTGACCAGCTTGGAGTATTGTTGGAGCTGCACTCAGACAGGCAAATGGACAGTGTTCCATTAGACTCCTGACTTGTGCCTTGTAGATGGTGGACACGCTTTGGGGAGACAAATGGTGAGTTACTTGTCACAACTTGGTAGCATTTAAACATAGTAGGAACTGCCAATGCTGGAGAATCTGAGATAACAAGGTGTGGAGCTGGATGAACACAGCAGGCCAGCTGACGTTTCGGGTCTAGACCCTTCTTCAGAAATGGGGGAGGGGAAGGGGATTCTGAAATAAAAGGTGGGGGGAGGCGGATGGAAGATGGATAAAGGAGCAGATAGGTGGAGAGGAGACAGACAGGTCAAGGAGGCAGGGATGAGGCTGGTAGGTAGGAGGTGGGGGTGGATGAAGACATTTGCATGCCTTCTGGAATGTTAGCCGAGAGTAATAATTTGTTGAATAAATGGTGAGAGACATGGCATTCTCCTGTGTAAGATAAAAGCTGGAAGGTCCAATCAAGACTGGAGAAGGGACAGTGGGAGTGATTGAAAGAGTGTATCTGTTCCAGGAATACAGTTTGTTCTTGGAAACAACCTAACCAGATCAAAAGGTGGGAGTGATGCCCATTGTGACAGAGAAGCCGAAAGAAAACCACAGAACTGAAGAAAAATACCTTGGAACATTTCCTGACTGTGTGGCAACAAGATCCCACTGTCATAAGTTAAAGCAAGAAGGGAAAACAAAAAGAGAAAGACAAAGGAGTTGAGGTCCAGTTAGCTGACACCGTGTGATGAAATTGTAAAGGAAAAACCTACACAGGTAGAGGATCAGGCAGAGATGTTTAGTTCTGAAAGACCAATGGAGTTACAACAAAAAGATGGAATAATAAGGGATTTATATCATAAGCCTACTCGGAAAAGGAATCAGAATGTATTCCAGAACGCTATTACCTCAAGGATAGAATCCTAAGGTGTAAATAGAGACCTTGACAGGTTAGCACAGAGGAGAAATAGGCAGAAGTTCACCACATTGTGTTACTAGTAGTATACATACAGTAAAAGTATTGCGGGTTGCACATTAATTATCTTTAGGAAATCATGTAGGAGTGAGGAAGACTCAGGCCAAGATATAGAAGCATTTCTATTGGCCTGGATTACATAAAAATTGGTTGAATTTTATTGTACCTATCATATATCAGATGGGAGGAAAGCCACAGGCAGTAATAAAACCAGTGCTTTTAATGCCAATTCCAGCATTTGAAGAAACTTTCACATGGGTTATGATCGATTGTGTAGGTCCTCTCCCTAAAACCAAAAGTGGGAACCAGTATTTGCTAACCATAATGGATGTGCCTACCAGATTTCCATAGGCAATTCCATTACATAATGTCAAGGTAACAAAGGTTGTGGAGGAGTTGCTTGCTTTCTTTACCCATTACGGATTACCCAGGGAGATTTAGTCAGACCAAGGGTCCAATATTACTGCCAAACTATTTAAGAAAGTCATGGATAGTTTAGGTATCCAACACTTTAAATCAAGTGCATACCATCCTGAATCCTAGGGAGCATTGGAAAGGTGGCATCAGACCTTAACTTTGCTGACAGCTTATTGCCAGCATTACCAAAATGGTCGGGATAAAGGTATCCCATTTATTTTGTTTGCTATTAGTGATATTCCAAATGAATCGACTCAGTTTACTCCATTTGAATTGATATTCGGACACAAAGTAAGGAGGCCTTTAAAATTAAGGAAAAGCTGATAGGCCAGAAGCCAGGGATCTCACAGTCGGATTACGTATCTGGAGGTGAGAGAATGATTAAACAAAGTAGGTGAGTTATAGCAAGACAACACTTGAAGGTGGCACAGCATCTAATGAAGCAAGAAGCAGATAAGAAATCTAAAATTTGTACATTTGCCCATGGGGATAAAGTATTGGTGCTGTTAACAGTAGTGGAGGCCCCTTCAAAGCAAGGTTTAGTGCTTCCTATCAGATTGTGAAGAAGTCAGGTGAATACCAGAATCTTTTCCGGTAAAGAAGCCAGAAAAAGGAAAAAATTCATCGGGTATGTCACGTGAACATGCTGAAACATTACTATGACAGGGAAAGGTAACTAGAAAAACAGGTATTAGTTACTGACACTCAGAGCAAGGAATCAAATCCAGATGATTTGGATTTTGATGTGCTTCAGAATAAATTATATAATGAGGAAGTCCTTAAAGAAGGGATAGGAATAGCAAGCCATCTGTCTCAGTAACAGAGAGCTGAATTGAAAGGGCTGTTGCAGCACTATGAGGACATATGTAGAAATAGAATGGGGAGGACTAATACTATAATACATGAGGTTGACATAGGGAATGCTGTTCCGATAAAACACCCTTACAGGCTTAATCCTCTCAAAGCAGCACAGGTACAGAAGGAAGTGGATGCAATGCTCTAAGAAGACAAACAGAGTCAAAGTGAGTGTAATTCACCGATTGTGTTGGTTCCCAAACCTGACGGCACTCAACGATTCTGCATAGATTATTAGAAGGTCAATGCTGTGACTAAATCAGACTCTTACCCAATTCCAAAGCTGACGGACTGTGTGGAAAATGTTGGACAAACCACTTATGTCATGAAGTTGGACTTACTTCGTGGTTACTGGCAAGTACCTTTGTTGGAGACAGCGAAAGAAGTTTTTGTGTTTGTAATCTCAAATGGGCTGTATCAATTTGAAGTAATGCCCTTTGGAATGAAGAACATTTCAAAGATTTAAGAAGAGGGTTGTGGCACGATTGACTGATTGTGCCATCTATATAGGATGACTTAGTGATCTTTAGCCATTTGTGGAAAGATCACAGTGCATTTGGCAGAGCTCTTAGAGACACTACGGAAAGCAAAGTTGGTCATAAATTTGGAAAAGACAGAATTCGCAAAGGTGGAAGTGAAGTTCTTAGGACACAGCATCAGACCTGGAAGGATGACACAAAAGGAACATGAAGATGAAGGCTATCGTGGAATTTCTAAGACCATCCTCGAAGAAGGAAGTGCTACGATTTTTGGAACGGAGCGGATTCTACCGTAAGTTTGTACCAAACTTTAGTAGTGAGGTGGCACCACTGACGGATTTGTTGAAGAGCACCACAAAATTTCGATGTACAGAACAATGCCAGGAGGCATTTGAGAATTTAAAAACAATGTTAACCACGGCACCAGTTTTAGCCACGCCAAATTTCTCAAATTTAAAGTTGGAGCTGTGTTGTTACAGAAGTATGATTGTGGAATTGAAAGGCCAGTTATTTTCCAAAGGAACTCAATAGCCACTAGAGAAAATATTCAACTGTTGCAAAGGAGTTACTGAGTTTGGTCCTGGCCTTACAACATCTTAATGTTTATGCTGCAAACAATATTTCGGAGGCAGTTGTGTACACTGATCACAACCTTTTGACATTCTTGCAAAGACTTAAAGACAAGACCATTTAGAGTCTAATGAGTCACTCTAGATTAATGACCTATGTATCTAGTAATAATGGTGTTAAGATTGAGGAAAAAAAGAAGCCATCTTTTTGTAATGATAGTTCATAATAAAGGCGAGAAGAGAATGCAAGCAAAGGGGCAGAAAATGTCATTGATGAAGTAGCCGAATGTGGTTGGGCCTGGGACATGACCCTGAGAAACACATGTAGACCCATTATTAGACTAAGATGTCCACTGTCAAAATGAGGCCACGCGTAAACTGGAAAGAACACCACCTTATGTTCTGCCTCAGAAGCAGACAGCCCAATGGCCTCAATATATAGTTCACCAGCTTCAAAATCTCCCCACTTCCAGCCTCATCCCATATCCAGCCCTCCCCCTCTCATCCCAGTCTCCTTGACCTGACACAACCTGTCCATCTTACTTCTCACCTATCCGCTCCACCTCTGCCAATGACCAATCCCTGCAAGCCCATACCTGCATCAACCCATCACCATCCCACCTACCTTCCCCCCAAGCCAACCCCCTCCCTCTATTATTTCTGAGCTCCCATTCCCCTTACCCCTCCCCAGTCCTGAAGAATGATCCAGACCCAAAACATCAACTTTCCAGCTCCTCTGACCTGTGTTGATCCAGCTCCACATTTTATCGACTTTGCCCAATTTCCTATCTTTCTGTGGACTTTTTCTATGTCTTTTCATGTCCTTAACTATTTGGAAATGATTTTATTTAAAAACGAAGTCAATTGAGTCCTGAAGAAGGGTCTAGGCCCAAAATGTCAACTCTACTCCTCTGGTGCTGCCTGACCTGCTGTGTTCCTCCAGCTCCACACTGTATTGACAAGTTCATTGAACAACAGGTTTCTATTACTGCTGACAACACGAGCTGCATCTGTTTGAACTCAACAAAAATAGGTGGCCGACATTTGCTGGTTCCTTTCTCAGAACCATGCCCTGACCAATCAGAGCCAACTAACTGGTTTAACATTTTAACCAGGGCCTGACTGTTAATGGTCACTGAACATAATAGGTGCATTTGCCATGGCAACACCTCCACCAATCATCACACTCCTCTCATGCAGTAGTAATTTTAATTATCTGTCAATTTGTATTCATGAAATGTCCTGATGAGTGAAAGGCAAAAAGCTTTGATAAAAGTGTATTTTTTAAGCAGTACACACATTCTATACTATCAAATGACTACTTTTCCATAATTCAGATTATTCAACCCATTAATTCCATCTCACTGCAAGACTGTGGTTCTCTCTCTTTGTTTTCTTTTTTCCTCATCTAAAACTCAATTATCTTTAGTTTTGAAAAATGGCATCCATCCGACATCCAAAATGTTAGCCTGTCTTGTTATTCATGCTGTTAATAATCATTTAGCAAACTGCAAATTATTCATTTAAAAAGCTGCTAGGTGATACCCCTTCTTTTTTTGAAAAAGAACGGTTTAGTGTCTTTCATTTATCAGTCCTTATATACCCTCAACGCCATTGAATTTTGCAAAATCTACATAATTCAGCCCCCGCTCTTCTCAGCCCTAATTTCCCTTAGCATTCTGGAATATAAAGGATCAGTATCTGGAAAATAATTAAGTTCAATTCTTATCAATACAGTATAATTTACTTTTAATAATTGTTCTCAATTTTCTGTTCTTCCACATTTTGCTCTGGTATTTCTTTACTAAAAAGGTGGAAACTCAGACAAAAACAGATCACAGTCCCACTGTGTGCATTTGAGTGTGCCGGGTGATCGAGTAACATTAGAAATAACCTTGGTTTGGAATTGCATTTAAAAAAAAAAAAGGGCAGCACGACAGCTCAGTGGTTAGCACTGCAGCCTCACAGCGCCAGGGACCTGGGTTCGATTCCAGCCTCGGGCGACTGTCTGTGTTAAGTTTGCACATTCTCCCCGTGTCTGCGTGGGTTTCCTCCGGGTGCTCCGGTTTCCTCCCACAGTCCAAAGATGTGCAGGCTAGGTGGATTGGCCATGCTAAATTGCCCGTAGTGTTCAGGGGTGTGTGGGTTATAGGGGGATGGGTCTGGGTGGGATGCTCCAAGGGTCGGTGCGGACTTGTTGGGTTGAAGGGCCTGTTTCCACACTGTAGGGATTCTGTGATATGATTTAGCCTTTCACCTTCCTTTTATCAGATGCAAGAAACTCAAACATTGACATTTTCTCACTCCCTACCATGTCTTCTCACTAAACAAACTATCCAATGTTTATGAGTCATGTAGTTAGGTTGGAGATGCTTACCTCAACACTTTGGAAATATCGTCAGTGTGCCTTCGGCAAAGTGTCGGTGTTCTGTCCTGCTTGTTATTTGTATGTCTCGGTTTGCTGGGGTGGTTGGTATTACTTCTGGTTTTGTTTCTCAGTGGTTTGTATACAGTGTCTAATTCAATATGTTTGTTGATGGAGTTCCAGTTGGAACACAAGGCCTCCAGGAATTCCCTGGTGTGCCTTCGTTTGGCTTGTGCCATTATGGATGCTTGTCCCAGTCGAATTCGTGTCCCTCGGTGTCCATGCATAGTGAGACATTTGAGAATTGGTCATGTCTCTCGGTGGCTAGTTGGTGTTCATGTATCTGTATTGTCAATTTTCTTCTGATTTGGCCGATGTAGTGTTTCTCTCAGTTCTTGCATGGTATTTTGTATATTACCCCAGTTTTGCTGGTTTTGGGTACGGGATCCTTTACGCTCATCAGCTGCTGTAGGTTGGTTGTCGGTTTGCAGGCTACTCTGCTACCTAGGGGTCTGAGTAGTCTTGTAGTCAGCTCTGAAATGCCCTTGATGTACGTAGGGTGATTAGTGAGTCTGATTGTGTTGTGTCTTTCTGTTGTGGCCTGTCTAAGAGGTAAACAGATTATGCTTGTCGGGTATCCATTTCTTTTGGAAACTCCATACAAGTGCTCCTGTTCTGCTTTGCGTAGTTCTGGATTGCTGCAATGTGTTGTGGCTTGTTTAAATAGTGTCCTGGTGCAGCTCCGTTTGTGGGCTTTGGGGTGGTTGCTAGTTTAATGAGTATCTGGTCCATTTGTGTGGTCTTTCTATATCCTCTAGTCATTTTAATAATCACAGAGGGGTCATCTACATGTCGGACCAAAAATTTGGGTTGTATGGTGGGGAGCGCTGTTCGTTCTAAGCTTTGCATTCCTGCTTCTGCAATCAGTACTGATACTGGGGATCCCATTGGTGTTCTGTTGATTTGTTTGTCTATGCTGTCATTGAAGTGGGTTGCGAGGCACAGACCGAGTAGTTCCATGGTGGTGTCCTTATCAATGTTGTTGGTGTCCTGGGTTACCTGCTTACTTGATTCGTCCAGCAGTGTAGCAATTGTTTCTTTGGCTAGGTCGAGATTTATAGACGTAAATAGTGCTGTTACGTTGAAGGATATAATTTTGTCATCTTCTATTCTGGTGCCCTTGATGATGTTGAGGAATTCTTGGGATGAGTGGATGGAGTGGGTAGTGTTGTCCACTAAAGTATTTCAATTTCTGTTGCAGTTCTTTGGCAAGTCTATATGTTGGTCTACCTGGCAGTGAGACAATGGGTCTGGGGGGGGACCCCCGGTGTGTGTACTTTGGGGAGTGTTGATCCCTCTAGTGTATATAGAAAGACCACACTTACGGACCATATACTCAATTACACTAGCAACCACCCCAACGCCCACAAATGGAACTGCAGATTGACAACCACTCTATGACAGCTACTGACAAACAAAGGATCCCATACCCAAAACCAGCAAAACTGGGGTAATATTCAAAATACCACATAAAAACCATAAGAACTGCAGATGCTGTAAATCAGGAACAAAAACAAAGTTCCCGGAAAAGCTCAGCAGGTCTGGCAGCATCTGCGAAGGGGAAAAGAAAGTTAACGTTTCGGGTCCGGTGACCCTTCCTCAGAATGGGTTCTGAGGAATGGTCACCAGACCCGAAACATTAACACTTTTTTTTTCTCCCCTTCACAGAT